TAATGTTACTTCGTCTTCTGGCACTTCACCGGTGTGGCTGGCAGCTTCCCCAGTTATTCTGACTAATTTTGCATCGCCTGGTTCGCCGCCGATCTTGACGTTCTTTTCGTTCCTGATGGGGTTATCATCTCAACGATTCGCCCGATACTTGGCAAAAATTTAGCCGTTTCGACATGTCCTTGGTGTATGTGAGATCATTAGTTTCTCGTTCCGGACAGTGCCACTGCGAGATCGCAGCGTGGTGCTCAATAGACTAGGAGTAATTTATATGTTTGAACTCATGTAAAGTTGCACAAAAATGATATTGCAATATCATTTTTTCTTTGATGAAAATAGTACATTTCTTTTGTAGAGCGTACCGCAAGGCTTGCATTCAGTGATTTCCGTCTTGTTGGTCCATTCGTAGCAGTCTGCCGTGAGTCGATCCAGAGGCTCCAGTGCGGAACATTGACGCCACCGTCAGCGCATGCCAAAGCTCGAGTACCTCACTCACAAGGTTTTTTTTCGTCTTTTGGATCTCGATGCCGTTGGTTTTTTGTCGGGGATGAAATTTTCATCGGTTGATTAGAGTTGTCTTAAAAAAAATCCGTAATTTTCAGGACATACGCTGGAATGTTTGATAAGTAAAATTTATGAGGCGCAGCGAAAAGATCCGAAAGCAGCTCCGATTGTTGGCCAGGCATGTTATCATGAAGTCATGCGAATCGCTGAATTGCAAACGGAAGATTTCCACCTGGATCGCCCACTGTTCTTTGCATGCCGTGAAGATCGTGAGGTTTGCTTTTTTCTGATTCCTCCCTTTTCTTCCCTGCTTTACACACTCACGACAAATTGTTGAGACACCTTGTTGAATCTCATCGCATTCAGTTGCTCTGAGCGCCCCTCTGTGCTTTGTCATCGAATGTAGCACGGAAGGAATCCAAACATTTTACACGCACAGCATGTATTTGGAGAAATTTGCATAAATTGCTTTTTACGTTTTTCATTTCCGTATTGTCTTTCTTTTCCTTTGTTCTTTTATTAGTTGCATTAGACTTCCTGTACGATTAATCCCCAAATTCGTCTCCTTAATTGCAAATATCACATTTTCTGTCACTTTTAAAAGAAATTTGTTGCATTTTTTTCTTTTTGTACATTTTTGCCTCACTTATGAGGAACGAAAACGCGCATCAGAGGTTGGTGTGTGTGTGTGTGT